ATGTGTTGTAGTTCGCTGTGTCTATGAAGTCGTTATACGCTGTAGTTCGCTGTTTTTGAGGTCGTTATACATTGTAGTTCGTTGTGTCTTGAAAGTCGTCATACATTGTAATTTGTTGTGTCTTTGATGTCATTATAAATTGTAGTTTATTGTATCTTTGGTTTTGTTATACATTTAGTGTGTTGTGTCTGTGAGGTTGTTATACATTGAAGTTCGTTGTGTCTTGAAAGTCGTCATATATTGTAGTTTACTGTGTCTTTGATGTCATTATAAATTGTAGTTTATTGTGTTTTTGGTTTTATTATACATTTAGTGTGTTGTGTCTTTGAGGTTGTTATACAGTGTCGCTCGTAGTGTCTTTGAGGTCGTTATACGCTGTAGTTCGTTGTCTTTGAGGTCGTTATACGCTGTAGTTCGTTATGTCTTTAAGTTCACTCACGTCTTGATGTATGGAAATGAATCATGCACAGTTGGTAAATTAGTGAAGAATTATTTTGAAGCTGCGGAGATGTGGTTTTATAGACGGATGAAGAGAATACCCTAGACAATTAAAAAGAGCAATGAGGATGTCTTGAAAAAAAACTGAATCACAGAGAGAACAAATTGCCTACAGAAAAAGACGATCTACATTCTTTGATCATGTGATGAGAAGGAGAAAACTGGGGTACATGGTGACAGTATGAAAGTTGGAAGGGTGGAGAGGCAGTGGGAGACCGAGAGAAAAGATTATGGACAGTTTGACATCATGGCATGTACGATCATCTGTGTCAGAGTTGAGTGAAAGTACACGAGACGGAAGGTTGTGGATAGACATGACTACCAACGCCTCACGGCATGGACTATGGAAGGTCAGCTGTGTCATAGTTGAGTGAAAGTACACGAGACAGAAGGTTGTGGATAGACATGACTACCAACGCCACACGGCATGGACTATGGAAGGTCATCTGTGTCAGAGTTGAGTGAAAGTCCACGAGACATAAGGTTGTGTATAGACACTACTACCAACGCCACACGACATGGACTTTGAGAAGAAGCACGAGTATCCAAAGTAGGCGTCTGCGAGTGTGGATCCAGGACACTGAAGATACTTTGGCTATGAAAGCACCTAAAGCTGGTGAACTGGCTAGAGTTCATGAAGAGGCTCCATGAAGAGAGCGACGTTCTGTAAAACACACCTGCTGGTCGATGAGGATGATGCATGCTGACCACCAGCTACTTCGAAGCCCCGGTTTGAAAGTTGCCACAAGCTTGCTTGCAAGTTAGGAGGTCGTGGGTTCAAATCCGCGTCGAGAAGGATTTTTAAAAATAAATTTAGAGCTCCTGGGGGAAACCCGTGTGTCCTGGGAAATTTCCCGGGAATTGAAGGCACCAAGTGCGATGCTGGCAACAGTTGGGCAAGAATCCGTCAAGGATATGATTGCTCAGTGTCGATAGAGAAAATAAAATGACGCTATGCCAGTAAATTAAATAATCAAGATTTGCCCGGCTCGCTAGCAAAGTTGGTCAAACCTGACTTCGTGGTGACCGGGTGACGAACTCCTTGTGGTCCGGGTTCACGCTCGGGGGTTGGCAGAAAAGCCACATTTCTCCAAATTTACGGCATCTATTATGGTATCAATGCCGAAGCGTTGCGATATCCATAGTACCGAGCCAAAAGGTTAACAACTCCTGTTTCCTGTATTCCTTCCTTCATTCTGTTTTCCCCCGTCCAGGCTGTCCCCTACCCCCCCCCCCCCAACCCACCCACCCCCTACCCCACTCCACCCCAAACCCCACTCCTACTCCCCTTTCACCGCCGATGACCTGATTTTTAAAAATCCAGCCTAGATGGCAGACGAGCAGGGCAACAACAAGATACTCCTTCAACTTTCAAAGAAGTTATAACTGGTAAACCTCTAACAGCGACACCATCCTTAGCCACAAACGCTAACACTTCGTAGGGCACACAATACAATACAATGTAACCACTATAAGTGAGAACAGTACCTTCGTCTGTGTTGCCTCCTCTACCATCTGAACCAGCATTTCGTTCTGCTCATTTAGATCCTTCACATAGGCTTCCAGCAGCTGAATGCGCATCTAAGGTCAGAAGGTCAAGGAACCACCCTTGCATTTATTTCTGCTTTACGTGTATGTGATATAAACACAAAGGACCTTTCTGCTTTACATATATGTGATATAAACATTAGGGACCTTTCTGCTTTACATATATGTGATTTAAACATTAGGGACCTTTCTGCTTTACATGCATGTGATATAAACATTAGGGACCTTTCTGCTTTACATATATGTGATATAAACTTAAGGGACCTTTCTGCTTTACATATATGTGATATAAACATTAGGGACCTTTCTGCTTTACATATATGTGATATAAACATTAGGGACCTTTCTGCTTTACATATATGTGATATAAACATTAGGGACCTTTCTGCTTTACATACATGTGATATAAACACAAAGGACCTTTCTGCTTTACATATATGTGATATAAACACAGTGGACCTTTCTGCTTTACATATATGTGATATAAACATTAGGGACCTTTCTGCTTTACATATATGTGATTTAAACATTAGAGACCTTTCTGCTTTACATATATGTGATATAAACATTAGAGACATTTCTGCTTTACATATATGTGATATAAACATTAGGGACCTTTCTGCTTTACATATATGTGATATAAACATTAGGGACCTTTCTGCTTTACATATATGTGATATAAACATTAGGGACCTTTCTGCTTTACATATAAGTGATATAAACACAAAGGACTTTTCTGCTTTACATATATGTGATATAAACATTAGAGACATTTCTGCTTTACATATATGTGATATAAACATTAGGGACCTTTCTGCTTTACATATATGTGATATAAACATTAGGGACCTTTCTGCTTTACATATATGTGATATAAACATTAGGGACCTTTCTGCTTTACATATAAGTGATATAAACACAAAGGACTTTTCTGCTTTACATATATGTGATATAAACACAAAGGACCAAAATATATATACTCATACAACATACAAGTTCATGTTAATGTATGTATGCATGCATGTATGTATGCGTGCAGGCATTTAGACAGACACAAACGCACCTACACGCATACATACTCATTCACACGCATTCATACATACACATTCATGTATACACTAATAAATACATCGAGGGCTTGAATCTGGAGAAAAGCGTGCTGGTACCCATAAGAAAGTGTCTACTTCATATCTGGTACCCACAACAAAGTGTCAATTTCATAGCTGGTACCCACTACAAAATGTCTGTTTCATAGCTGGTACGCACAACAAAATGTATATTTCATAGCTGGTACCCACAACAAAATGTATATTTCATAGCTGGTACCCACATCAAAGTGTCTATTTCATAGCTGGTACCCACAACAAAATGTATATTTCATAGTTGGTACCCACATCAAAGTGTCTATTTCATAGCTGGTACCCACAACGAAATGTATATTTCATAGCTGGTACCCACATCAAAGTGTCTATTTCATAGCTGGTACCCACAACAAAATGTAAATTTCATAGCTGGTACCCACATCAAAGTGTCTATTTCACAGCTGGTACCCACAACAAAATTATATTTCATAGTTGGTACCCACATCAAAGTGTCTATTTCATAGCTGGTACCCACAACAAAGTGTCTATTTCATAGCTATGAAAAATGTGATGCTTAATAAAATTAGTTACTACTGCCTACCGTTCCTTACTGCCAAACAAAAACAACATGCGCACCTGCATGTATATCTACCAAAGGTTAAAGTCTAGGGGATCGACTTCATTACACCGGGTTTTATCTCATATGGCTCGGTCTCTCTCCGCAGAACGGTTAGCCGCCTGCCTAGAGCGCCGCACAGAGCACGAACTCCGAAGCTCCCATGGATATCCGCAAAAATTGCACTCGTGATCTAAACGGTTCAGCCGTGGAACAAAGACATGATCTTCAAAGCAGACATGTATGTATACATAACGAACAAATACTCATATAAACACATTTGGAACTTTGGATCAATAGCGCAGATAGGCAGGCTTACTGTTTTTAGATGTGGCAAGTTTTGTTTTCCTGACAATTTTGAGTCGTTGCATTTTCCTTAGTGTGTGGACTGAAAGGATATAATTCCGTCGCCCAGCTGCTGAGTTGAGATCATGGCGTGCCACTATGAGCTGCTGGTTTCATTTGGAGTGCTTTTTGACTGTGCCTAACATGGTCTGAATTTTGAACTGAAGATTCAGAACATGGTGTGTAGCCTGTTCCCAGAGAACTGGTAGTGTCTTAATTGCCTGTACAATTACTGATTTGTTATAACGGCTGCTTTTGTTGACGATGAACTGCATTTCTAGTGCCGCGCTGTTTGTGTTAGCAGTTCTGGCAGCTGCCTTATGCACTCAATGCGTGTGATACTACTGACTAGACTGCATTCTGTGTCAATGTGTTTCACAGAGGACAATATTTTGAAATTCTGCGTGACTGTCGCTGGCACAGGAATGAAACGGCTATGGGTGTAAACCCGTTTGCTGTGTTATGAAACAACGATAACCTTATTACCATATACATACATTCAAATATAATGATCTACAAACAATCCCGTGTACATATGCACTAAGAATCGACTACCAGTCTTGTGTGACATAAACGAGTATTTCCTAAACTTTTTTGGTCGCGGCGCCATTTTTTTTTTTTTTCAGTTAAAATTTGTCAATGGCGACCAAACCTAAGTAAAGGTATGACTATTCGTGTCTTGGTTAAATTAATTATGAAGCTTTTACAATATTTCGCGGCGCCCCTGTGAAAAGGTCGCGGCTCCCCGGGGCGCCACTGACATAAACAGTGCAAAACGATAAAAGGATGAAAAACAACACGGCAGAGGTTAAACTTACTTTAGTGGTATCTTTGCCTGCGCATTCAGCTGCGTCGAGTTTAATGAATTGTTTTCTGTACAGAGCTGTTAGCTCACCTCGCAAGCTCTCCATTTCTAGATTTATCCTGGAATACAGAACCATATTATCAACAGTTAAACTGTTTCGTCCCTTTGCAGATGGAAATAGAAAAGCGTAGCCTAATTGCGCTGCCTGGGCACACGCAAAAAATTTGGAGTTAAACAAATTTACCCAAAGTATTTCAGAATTCTCGCCGGTACTACAGAGTTCGTGCACTGCGCTGAGACTCTTCGGACACGGACTTGAGTTAAAAGTAGAACGGATAACTTATGTGTTACTACCCTTGTGCCATGATGTAGATAAGTTGTTTAAACCTGAACCTAAAAGTCTTCACTTGTTGCTGAAAATGGGGACAGCGCTCTGATGGGAATGTCGAGAGGGCTGTCGTGTCAATTTTTAATTCACCATTGTTCTTCCTTTTCTGCCATTTATCACTTGATGGAACAATGGATTTAAACCAACTGGCATCAAGTAATAAGGTCCTTTGCCGTTGCAAGGAGCTCACCACAGGCTCTAATTATATTATGATTGTTTGTGAAATAGTCCATACAAGAGTGTATACAACAAAAACCTAACTCACGTGAAACAGTAAGTTACTTCATAACAGTATGGTACCCTAATATAAACCTTATACTCGACTTATACGATAAATATGTTCTTACGGCCAAACCATACGGTACTCTAATTTACACCTTATACTCGACTTGCGAACTATGCGATCTACGACCATCCCCACTTACGATCACACACACACAAAATCAATAAAAATAGTAGCTAATGAAAAATAACCAAATTACCAAGGACAACGATTTTCAGAAACTGATGCCCAAGGTATTTTTATACTCATATTTACAACAACTATACGTCCACAAACCAGATTTTTGTAGCATGTACAATGTGTATAACCTTTTTGCACGAAATTAGTGCTGAAAAATATAACAATGACTTAAGACCATTCGACTTACGACTAATAGTCGGAACCGAACTCGTTCGTAAATCGAGGAGAGCCTATAACTGCTTTATACTGTTGAGCAGGGTGTCTAAGATATGTTTATGGTTCGATTTGCAACCAACGGGTGGCTCTAAGTAACTAAGTGTCAATCTCTCAAACTGCAATCCACACAGACAGACAGACAGACAGACAGACAGACAGACAGACAGACAGACAGACAGACAGACAGACAGACAGACAGACAGACAGACAGACAGACAGACAGACAGACAGACAGACAGACAGACAGACAGACAGACAGACAGACAGACAGACAGACAGACAGACAGACAGACAGACAGACAGACAGACAGACAGACAGACAGACAGACAGACAGACGGACGGACAGACAGACGGACAGACGGACGGACAGACGGACGGACAGACGGACGGACAGAGGGACAGATGGACAGACAGACAGATGGACAGACAGACAGATGGACAGACAGGCAGATGGACAGACAGGCAGACAGACATAACCATGTTTCTCACATTGCTGTATAATCTCCTCATTGAGTACTTACCAAGTAATGTTACCAGCTTGAATGTAGATGCCCGATATAACAACGACAATGACCACAAATGCATAATAAACCTGGCCTACACTGATTTAACTTCCTTCAGGTTTAAAATACCTGAAGATTAAATATATCCCTTTTTTTTACGCAGACGGTAAAATGAAGAAGAAATTGTGATCACAGAAATCGGCAAATGAACATGAGAGAAAACCAGGAGGCGGCATAATTGACCGCCAGATAATGTGATAAGCAGAAACGAGTCATTTGATAACGTAGACTTTTGTTGTATATGGACAACTTGTCTTGCTTCTCCAGGGCTAATGGCAAGCTACATATACCACAAGCTGTTTGTTTCATTCAGAAGACGACAATCTTGCGTTCATTGTATTTTCAAAGGTAGCACTCTGTGCATTAAAGTTCTGGCTGCGTCTGGATTTTCCCCGTACTAAATACATGGTGTCAATATGTAAGTGGTTAGCTGGGTTAGTTGGGTGGTTAGTTAGTTAGTTAGCTAGCTAGCTGGTTAGTTAGTTAGTTAGTTAGTTAGTTAGTTAGTTAGTTAGTTAGTTAGTTAGTTAGTTAGTTAGTTAGTTAGTTAGTTAGTTAGTTAGTTAGTTAGTTAGTTAGTTAGTTAGTTAGTTAGTTAGTTAGTTAGTTAGTTAGTTAGTTAGTTAGTTAGTTAGTTAGTTAGTTAGTTAGTTAGTTAGTTAGTTAGTTAGTTAGTTAATTGGTTAGCTAGCTGGTTAGTTAGTTAGTTAGTTAGCTCGTTAGTGAGCTAGCTGGTTAGTTAGTTAGTTAGTTAGTTAGTTAGTTAGTTAGTTAGTTAGTTAGTTAGTTAGTTAGTTAGTTAGTTAGTTAGTTAGTTAGTTAGTTAGTTAGCTCGTTAGTGAGCTAGCTGGTTAGTTAGTTAGTTAGTTAGTTAGTTAGTTAGTTAGTTAGTTAGTTAGTTAGTTAGTTAGTTAGTTAGTTAGTTAGTTAGTTAGTTAGTTAGTTAGTTAGTTAGTTAGTTAGTTAGTTAGTTAGTTAGTTAGTTAGTTAGTTAGTTAGTTAGTTAGTTAGCTCGTTAGTGAGCTAGCTGGTTAGTTAGTTAGTTAATTGGTTAGCTAGCTGGTTAGTTAGTTAGTTAGTTAGTTAGTTAGTTAGCTCGTTAGTGAGCTAGCTGGTTAGTTAGTTAGTTAGTTAGTTAGTTAGTTAGTTAGTTAGTTAGTTAGTTAGTTAGTTAGTTAGTTAGTTAGTTAGTTAGTTAGTTGGTTAGTTAATTGGTTAGCTAGCTGGTTAGTTAGTTAGTTAGTTAGCTCGTTAGTGAGCTAGCTGGTTAGTTAGTTAGTTAGTTAGTTAGTTAGTTAGTTAGTTAGTTAGTTAGTTAGTTAGTTAGTTAGTTAGTTAGTTAGTTAGTTAGTTAGTTAGTTAGTTAGCTAGCTGGTTAATTAGTTAGCTAGCTGGTTAGTTAGTTAGCTGGTTAGTTAGCTAGCTGGTTAGTTCGTTAGTTAGCTCGTTAGTGAGCTAGCTGGCTGGTTAGTTAGTTAGTTTGCTAGTTTGTTAGTTAGTTGACGGTAGGCAATACTGATCCCTTTTTTATACACATGTTTGTGTGGCAAGCTACAGGTGTGTGTTTTTTTCCAGCGCTAGACTCTTGATGATGAGTACCGGCACCTTTTTCCATCTGAGGGAAATAAGTATATACCTTTGAACCTTTCCACTATGCCTGGCTGTCTGTATAGAATATTTCTTTGCCGAAACTTTCTAATTTCTGAATTCAAATATTTAAATGTGACACGAAAGTCTAAACTTATTATTCCGAGAAATATTACAATAAATAAATTTGTATCTTCTACTAAAGTTTAGTTTACATACATTATTTTAGACTCTTCCATATTTTGTGACAGGTGTTACATTCTCGCTGTGTTTCGCTAGTAAGTTAGTTAGTTAGTTAGTTAGTTAGTTAGTTAGTTAGTTAGTTAGTTAGTTAGTTAGTTAGTTAGTTAGTTAGCTGGTTAATTAGTTAGCTAGCTGGTTAGCTCGATAATTAGCTCTTTGGTGAGCTAGCTGGTTAGCTCGATAATTAGCTCTTTGGTGAGCTAGCTGGTTAGTTAGTTAGTTAGTTAGTTAGTTAATTAATTAGTTAGTTAGTTAGTTAGTTAGTTAGTTAGTTAATTAACGGTAGGCAATACTGGCACCTTTTTTTATACACAGTTAGTTAGCTGGTTAGTTAGTTAGCTAGCTGGTAAGTTAGTTAGCTCGTTAGTGAGCTAGCTCGTTAGATAGCTAGCTATTTAGTTAGTTGATTAGCTGTTAAGTTAGCTAGCTAGTTAGCTGTTTAGTTAGTAGCTAGCTAGTTAGTCAGTAGGTTAGTTAGTTAGTTTGCTCGTTAGTGAGCTAGCTGGTTAGTTAGCTAGCTGGTTAGTTAGTTGGTTAGCTAGTTAGTTAGTTAGCTCAGTAATTAGTTAGCTAGCTGGTTAGCTCGTTAATTAGCTCGTTAGTGAGCTAGCTGGTTAGTAAGCTAGCTGGCTAGTTAATTAGTTAGTTTGCTAGTTAGTTAGTTAGTTAGTTAGTTAGCTAGCTAGCTAGTTAGTTAGTTAGCTAGCTAGTTAGTTAGCTCGTTAGTGAGCGAGCTGGTTAGTTAGCTAGCTAGATAATTAGTTAGCTGGTTAATTACTTAGCTAGCTGGTTAGCTCGTTAGTGAGCTAGCTGGTTAGTAAGGTAGCTGGTTAGTTAGTTAGTTAGCTAGCTAGTTAGTTAGTTAGTTAGTTAGTTAGTTAGTTGACGGTAGGCAATACTGGCACCTCTTCTATCCTTTGTTTTTCAACGCTAGACTCTTGATGATGAGTACCTGCACCTTTTTTCTCCTAAACGTTTGAACCTTTCCACTGTGCCTGGCTGTCTGTGTAGAATATTTTTTTAAAAACTTTCTCATTTCTGTATTCAAATATTTTGATGTGACATGAAAGTCTGAACTAATTATTCCAAGAAATACTACAATAAAATACATTTTTATCTTCTACTAAAGTTTAGTTTACATTATTTTAGACTGTTTCAAATTTGTGTGACAGGTGTTATATTTTCACTGTGCCATGTTAGACGTACCTGGCCGCCTTGTGGAGAGCGAAAACAACAAGCAGGCGTGCGAGATCCATCCACGTTGTGGTTTGTCAAGTTGTTGGTAAGTGATTGTGTTCTAATTATTTGTTAAACATGAGAAATTGGGAGCTATGAACCGATTGCATGGACTGAACACATAGATATAGCAAACAAATTATTTTAAATAATATTTTCCACCTTTCGATTTCAGAGGAATTTCTTGATTGGGTATTGAAGAACTTCTATAGCAGATTCAGATACTATACTATACTACCATTTCAATATTTGCGTGTAAAATTTTAGATTTTCATTTCATTTATTTCATTAACATTTTTAAGGTGAATGGCGGCCTCCTTTCCTGTTAAAAACCATTCTTTCCCACAAAATCATTTAATTTATGGAAATTATCACAATATTCAGATAGCTCCTTAACAAACAAACAAGC